GGGCCGGGAGGCCTATCGGCTCCGCTGATCCCCGGGCTTCGCGTATGAGCCTCTCGGCGCCACTGATCCAGGGGCTGAGAGGCCTCTCGGCGCCGCTGATCCAGGGGCCGGGAGGCCTCGCGGGCTCCGCTGATCCCGGGGCGGGGAGGCCTCTCGACTCCGCTGATCCCGGGGCGGGGAGGCCTCTCGACTCCGCTGATCCAGGGGCCGGGAGGCCTCTCGGTCCGCTGATCTCCAGGCCGGGAGGCCTCTCGGGTCCGCTGATCCCGGGGCCGGGAGGCCTCGCGGCTCAACTAATCCCAGGGTCGGGAGGCCTCTCGGCTCCGCTGATCCCCAGGCAGTGAGGCCTCTCTGCTCTGCGGCTTCAGGGCTGTTTGGCTTTACTCTACAGCTTGGAGCCTGAGTATGCAGATTAACCGCCATCTTTTAGCTTCTATAATTGAAACATTGTATTTTTTGGAGCTGTTGCTTCAGGAGCTCAGAGCCGGGCAGCTGCAGGCGGGAACCTTGGTTTCCTCTATCGCTGGAGCAACCAAGCATCCTGTTCTCAGCTGCCTGGCTGCTGCCGCCATCTTGGCTGACAGTTAATTTGCATATACTCACTGATTAGCCAATGAAAAGGGTAGCGGTCGTACGCCAATTACCATGTTTCTCTTTTGTTAGTGTAGATTTTCCGATGGTCTTAGGCGACCCCTGTGAAAGGGTCGTTCGACCCCCAAAGGGGTCATGACCCACAAGTTGAGAACCACTGACTTAGGGGAACTGAGAAGTATTGGGTTGTAGGGTGTTGATGCTCTCCAAGCAAAACCACCAGGAATACATCCATAGCTGAACACTGGGGTTATTATTCATTGCAGTGAGAAAACACACACTAGTGAGAACCATGGGGCCCCTCAGATTAAGAGACTCGGAAAGAACCTATTTCAGGATTTAGGTAATTTGGGGGAAGATCAAAGGAAATGGAGATTTGGTCTAGATCTGGTATTCTGAGACGATAGGACAATTCTATAATTGGGAACCTCTACACATTTTCTCTCTAGGAAGGGCAGGCAATGAAGTGTGAAGATATAATAGCTGAAATAGTCAAATCTGCAGTGGGATGGAATGATGTTTGGCGATTGTGAGATTGTATATGTCCAACAGGAGGACAACACAGCAGAGATGGCAGCATCAGATTAGTTTGTAATAACAATGAGTTCTAGTTGTGAGCATTACAACAGGTCTGGGCATCAGGAGCTGTCTCCTATCCTTTCTCAATCTCCCCTTTTCACCAAAGGGAATGACATCAGGCCAGTGGGCATTCATCCATGATATCCAACTGTTCACCATTGTCAAGATCTTGCTGCTGAGGATCAGAGTTTCACCTGAATGGTAGTCTGTTGTAGAACTAGAGTCAATCCATTCTTTTTCTTCTGTTCTGAGATGAGTCCTTGGACCAGTTGAAGTGACAATGACAGATGGAATACATTTCCAGGAGTAACGAGAAAATGTTATGTATATTTTGAGTTGAGAAACATGAATCCAACAATGAATACCTTAGATTTTCCTGCTGTGTCAGATCTTAACAAGGGATGAGAGACATGACTCAGCCATTCACCACACATTTACCCAGTGCCAACCATGTGCTGTCTTCATTTGTGATGGTCCAGTGAACAAGACAGAAAGGCCCTACCCTTGGAAGATGACATTCTGGTGGATGAGACCTACATCATTAAAGAAATGGACCAAGAACCATGAAGTGCTGTGAGAAAAATACAACTATGGAAATTAAGAGAGTGACTTGGGCTGCTTTATGCTGGGTGGTCAGGGGAGAAGCCTCTGAGCAGTGTCATATAAGCTGAGACCTGAGTGACAAGAAGGGCCCTAGGAGGTGAATATTTGTAACAGAGCACTTCAGGTCCAGAGGCACAGAGGAGCAGGCACCCTGATTCCTCCACATGACAGATAGGACAGTGTGGCAGAGCTTAATGAGTGTAGCAAAGAGAGAAGTAAGGTGGGGTCACACAAGAGACAGAGGTTTCCTAGGGCCCATCAACTCTGTTGCCTTGATGTGGAGTTTTGGATTTTGTTCTAAGTGCAATAACAAGATCTCAGAGGTTGTTGCTTGGTAATACAAGACTTGCTTTAGTTTCACATAGATGCCGCTGGCTGCTGGGTAAGAATGGGTGATAAGAAGACAAGAGTGAAAACAAAAGACTGTTGCTATGGTACAGGCAGGAGCCACAGATGCCTTGATTAGGGAAGAAGCAGCTGAGATGAAGATAAGTTGATGGACTGAGTGTATATGTTGCAGATACAGCCAATAGGACTTGGCTTATGAAAGTGAAAGGTAGGAGTTAAGGATGATGCCTGAATCTGAAACATGAGTGCTCAGTGTGTGGTAGTGCTATCTACTGAGTGTGGGGAAAATGGGAAGAGAACATTTAAGAAAGACAGTTGGGAATCAAGAGTCATCTTGAATGTGATTTAGCAAAGGGGATGAATAGAAATTTTCTTTTGATTGAAAGTGTGTCAAGCACATGAATTTTGTGTTGATTGAAAGTGTTTCAAACTTAGGACACATTGAGAAGACAGACTTTGGGCTGGAGAAATGTGAATTCGGGTTCAATATAGAGGAGGTGGAGGAAGAAGGATCTGGTTCAAGATGGAGGAAGGATCTGGTTCAAGATGTGTGAGCACTACATTAGAGATGAGTCCTGACCCAGCCATGTCCTCTTCCTTCTGAGTCAGGATTTCTAAAAAATGAGGAAATGAGCAGTGCCTGAAGTGGCATTAATTTCAGTAGAGATCATTCAAGGGTCCCCATGGGGCTGAGCAGAGCCAAGAAGGTGTCAGGTGGGGAGACACCTCACTTGCAGGATGAATTGAGGCTTCTCACATCACCACTGTTTCTACAGGAACTGGAGCTCTGCTATCGAAGCCCTGGGAAACCCCAGCTCTTCTCTGAGTTCTACGTTGGTCATCTGGGGTCAGGGATCCGGCTACAGATTAAAAGCAAAAATGATGCAACTGTTGTATGGGAGGCCTTGGTGAAATCAGGTAAAGTAAAGACAAGTACAGGGAACTCAGTAGTGGGGAACAGATAATCTATAAAATATTCTGTGTGTGTGGGTGTGTGTGTGTGTGTGTGTGTGATTACAATTTTCTAATGAGAAGAAATAGCCCAGAGAAGTGACTTTTTCTAGTTATGTAACAGTTGGCATGACTAGAATTTGAACTCAAGTTAATCTGACGTTAAATTCCATTCCCTCTCCCATGCACCATGGTGTCTCTACACTGCCCTTGATTTAACAGATTTTGAAACTCACAAGGCATTTGGCAAAGTTTCTCATAATAGATTGGACATGAGATGAGAAAAAAATTAGACTGTTATATGGTTGTATGAATTAAGCCAGTTATGGCAATAGCACATACATTTAACCTGGATCACTCAGATATTTCAAAGTAGACAAGAGGGAATCAAATGATGAACTTTCAGGAATGATTGCAATTTTATAGTCTTTTAAACCAGCACCAACACTTCCAAGAAGAAAATCCCCCTAAAAAGTCCTTCTAGGAAAAACCAGCTCATGTTCACTGTTGAAATATGGTAAATCTGCCTTCTGAGTTGCTACAAACAGTCTTCCCAGTGCAGAGAAAGAGAATGGTTGTGACTTAGTCATGGCTTGGGTGTAATCACAGGTGTGGACTAATCAGCCCCAGCATCAAACCTCATTTGAATCTTACTCTGACACTTACTTGCTGGGTGATCTTGGGAAAATTACTTAACTCATCTGAGTCTCATTTATAAAAGGAGGGTTATATTGTCTAAATTGTAGGATTGTTGGAAAGATTAAATACACGATGTATGTACATATCTCATGCTTTCATCCTTATAAATAGTAGTGATATTGTTAATTTTTCTCATATTAAGTGTTCCTCTTCCTCCTCTCAATCTTAATTCTGCTTCTTGGAACTGAGAGAAGAATCTATCTGCATTCCTATGAGAAACCTCTTTAGGTACCTGAAGACAGATCACGGCCTATGTTAGATCTCCTCCTGTGCAAGTTAAACATCTCTATTTTCTTCTAACATTCCTTTTATATTTTGGATTTTATGTCTTTGCCTTGTCAGTCACCTTCCTCAGTAGATGTGCCCATATGAGGACAAGTCAGGATGGACTCTAAGACTGTCCAGTCAGCATGGAGGACATGGGACACCCTCCTCCCTCCATCCAAGTGAACCGGCTGCTCCCAGCACCACAACCCGAGCTCCCCTGTGCTTGGCTACCCTCCCACACTGTCAGGTCACACTGAACTTGGGTCCTCTCAAAACCTCAGGCCATGTCCACAGGGGCTGCTGTGGCTCCCCCTTTCTCTCCTTATGCAAGAATTTTAAACCCTTCCTTTGTGGTGTTTCTTTTTCCCATTGAAATCATCCATTA